GTAACAAATCAATACATTTTGCAACAGTCCTCTAAATAAGGGCTACTTGCTTTTGTTGCAGCATCCTGTTCTCTGAAAAATGCTTTGAAACCCTTTTGATATTGGTAAAGTTTTTAACCATGAGACACCTAGGTATTTAAATCAACAGGCAGAATTAAAAGGCGAAAAAAATGAGAGGGGGGAAGGGACAAAAGGGAGGGAAACAAAACTATGACATATATAGCACCATTTTGCTTGGATTTTTTTCTAATGAAGAAGGGAGTGAAGTCTTTTAAACTTGAAAAGTTGCCAGAATATGGGGTTGTTCTCTAGCTTGCTCTACTTTTATTTTATTATTATAGATGATTTTTAGTTCAGAACTTCTGTGAATGCTTTTCTTAACTTTCTTTTCTGAATCACAGAGAAGTGTTTCAGGGATTTGCATCCGCCTAAAGCCAGCAGCACTGTGCTAGCTCTAAGCAACACAAAATCTGCAGGAATTGATATATCCCTTCATTCTGTGTTAGAAGTCAGTGCAGTGAAAGATTAAGATGTGTTTCCAAGTACTAAAGTATATTTTTGATATGAGCAGCAGCTGTTAAATCCCGGCACATCAGAATCTCCTAGTAGAATGATGATTTGGCAAAGGTTTAGGAATTGAAGACTGTTGACACAGCAGATTAATGCATTTGTTTGCTTATTCCCAGTCTCTCCTCAAGTAATACTATATCTATTTAAGGTTTAATGAAATTAGATTATACTTTTATACTGTCAGGGCTATTCTCCTCTGTAATATTTGTATTCTAATAACAGGGTGGAGAGCAAGTGACTGGGGTGGGGAGGAAGAGAGAATTTTCTCTTAACTACTACCTATCTGCTTCAAAGAATGGGATTTTTGCTTTGACTAACAAAGACAGCAGAGCATTCATTTGCATTCAATCCAACCTATATGCCTACCTTTCCACTGAATCAGCTTTGTACATTTTAAAAGACATGTTGTAGTGAATTATAACTACAAAAGTTATGCAGAGTGCAACTCACACAGCATTAGTTGGATTCATCCTGCTTTACACCACTAGGTGTACACTGCTTACTTTAAGTAGTTACATTAGAATTGAATGCACTTTCCTTTTGGCAGCAGGAAGTACAATAACATCTAACATTACAGTGTTGAGTAAAAACATATTTTAGTCCAACCAATTTGCACATTGTACTGGCATACGATAGAGGAAAATTTAGGTTGGAAGGGATGTTAGGAGGTCTCAAGTCCAACCTCCTGCTTAAAGGACAGCTAGGTATAACACAGACTGGATTGCTGTCTGGTTTTAAAAACCTCCAAGGATGGAGACTGTACAACCTCTCTGGGAAATTCAATCCACTGCTTGACTGTCCTCAGAGTGAAAAAGGTTTTCTTTATATCCAGTCTGAAACTCTGTGCCTGTTGTCTCTTGTCTTCCCCCCTTGCACCACTGTGAAGAGCCTGGCTTCATTCCCCATGTAAATTCCCTCTAGGTGCTTGCAGGCTGTTACTGGATCCTGCCTGAAGCCTCCTCTCCTCTAGGATGAACAAGGTCAGTTCCTCCAGCTTCTCCTCCTAGGGCATGGTGCTCCAGCCTCCAACAGAAGGTGGCCCTCCACTGAATTTGCTCCAGTTTATCAATATCCTTCTCATATTGTACTCCACACTGGTGAGGCCACACCTTGAGTACTGTGTTCAGTTCTGGGCCCCTCACTACAAGAAGGACATTGAGCTGCTGGAATGTGTCCAGAGAAGGGCAACAAAGCTGGTGAAGGGCCTGGAGAAAAAGTCTGATGAGGAGTGGCTGAGGGAGCTGGGGTTGTTTAGTCTGGGGAAAAGGAGGCTGAGGGGAGATCTTATCGTCCTCTACAACTACCTGAAAGGAGGTTGTAGTGAGGTGGGGGTTGGTCTCTTCTCCCCGGTAACTAGCGATAGGACAAGAGGAAATGGTCTAAAGTTGCGCCAGGGGAGGTTCAGGCTGGACATCAGAAAGAACTTCTTCACTGTTAGAGTCGTTAGGCATTGGAATGGGCTCCCCAGGGAGGTGGTGGACTCACTATCCCAGGAGGTGTTCAAAAAACTTTTAGATGTGGCGCTTCGAGACATGGTTTAGTGGGTTTAGCGGGCATGGTGGCATCGGGTGTACGGTTGGACTTGATGATGTTTGAGGTCTCTTCCAACCATAATGATTCTATGATTCTATTGGGGGAAGGCCAAAACTGGATGTGGTCTAAAGTGTGTTACATATATAGAGATAACCTCTTCCCTTGATCTAATGGCTATGTTCCGGATAATACAGCCCAAGATGCTGTTGGTCTTTTTTGCAGTGAGGGCATGCTCTTGGCTCATGTTCAGCTTGCTGGCTATCAAAATCCCCAAGTCCTTTCAGCAGAGCTGTTGTTTCCTAGACTGTCAGTACCCAGCCTCAATAATTGCATAGAATTTGTCTTTCCCAGATTTGGGTCTTCATATCTGTACCTGTTGAATTTTGTGAGGTTCTTGCTAGCCTATGCCTCCAGCATGTCCAGGTCCTTTGGATGGCAGCACAGTCCTCCAGTGTAACTATTGGTACCCCAGTCTGGTGTCATCTGCACACTCAATAGAGTGCACTCTGTTGCCTTCTCCTGGTCATTGATTAAAATGTTAAATAGGACAATACTCAGTTCCTTACCACTTGTATACATCCCATTAACAACTACTCTCTGAGCCTGACATCCAAGCAGGTTTTACACATGCAGTTGTCCACCTCTACAGATCACATGTCCTAATTTGGATATATGAATATTGTGGGAGACAGTGTCAAAAGTCTTGCTAAAGTTGAGGTACTACTCTCTCCTCATGCACAAATCCAGTCATTTTACCACAGAAAGTAATCAGGTTGGTCAGGTGTGGTTCATTCTTGGGAAATGCATGCTGAATGTTCCTAATCACCTTCTTCTCCATCATTTGCCCACAGAAGTGTGCTCAAAGGAGGTGTCCTCCTTGATTTTCCCAGGGACTGAAAGCAGACCAGCCTGTTGTTTCCCAGATTGTTCCTTTGGCTTCTTTTGAAGATGGAGCATTGTGGCAAAAATTTAACTACAAATTTAATTTGCCACCATTTTTAACAATGCAAGTAAATTAAATCAAAAAAGATATAATAATGACAACCTTTCTCAGTCTGGTAGTAACTGTAACCCCACTCTTCCACCTGTCCCAAACATACACATGCTTTACGGTGTTAGGACCTTGGGGTAGATGACACTGTATGCGGGAGTAAGGCTGGACACTGGAGGAATTCAAAACTATTAAACTTGGTCTGCTTCCAAAATTATTGTTTATTTTAATAGTCAAGGCTGCTGCCTTTTAGTTTCTCTTGTTTACAGAAGCAGTGTTGTTTTCTCAGTAATCTTTTACCACATGAAGTTTAGAATGCACACTCAACACTAACCGCTCCACAGCTTCTACACAAGCAAAGACAGGACTATGGAGAACTAAGATGCTGCACCATTATCTACATAATGAAATTAAAATTATGACCTGCACCCCAGAAGGTAAAATACTGCCTTTCTCCTCAAACCATATGATTTTAAGTAAATTACACTGTCTACTTTGGTATATTTTCAGATTTCTAAACTACCCTTATGTACTATAGGTATGGTACTTATATATAAACATATGTGGTAATTTCAAAATCTACCAAAAAGCTAATTTTTCTGAAAAGTGAATATTAATATTTCTTGGAAAATAAAGCTTACTACTCACACTCAATTGGGGGAGAATGAGGCAGAAGGAATGTTAACAAAATCCACTGCGATTCAGTGAAATAGAAGTGAAATAGAATTGGCTATGTCAAGAAAACTTCAAGAACACAATAATGTTATCTGTTTTTTTTTATCATATAGTTTCTCACACTTATAATACATGCACTGTTCAAATACATAAAAGCATGTGCTGGAGTCAGACTACAGATCCAGTTAAGGTAGTATTATACTTCCATGAATGACCAAAACCAGAGGTACAGAGAAGAATGAAAGTAGAAGGCAAGCATACATCATAAGGAGTATAGAAACAGTATCTTTTTAGCAGCAAGAAAGATGCATAAAAAGAACCTAGAATCTTTATTGAGCACAATTCATTAATTAATTGTTAACAGATTTGTTCCCTGAATTTATCGTATTTGGTGCTTACTCATTGTGAGACAAGCCATGCACATTAACAAATCATTGTTTTGATGAGCTATCCTCTACTAATGTGCACAGCACTAAGTATTTCAGAACTACCCTAAGTTTTATACCATGGGGCTCTAAACATGTTACTCCAACCTACTATTTCAGTCTCTGCTGGGGATATCCTTGTTCTGCAAAGAGAGTTCTCTGACACTCTTATTTTTAAGAAGCTTGAAATTTCAAACCAAGAAAGCAATGTTTCTAACTAAAGCAATTTCAGGTGGAGGATTATTTTTCTTTCATTGCTAAGCTCACGTATAAATGGGCAAATAATAAAACAGGGTGTAAAACTGCATAATGAATGACTTAAAAATGAGATTAAAAGGAAAGGTAATAAAATATTTGTGAGCAGAAAAGTCAGAAATAGCAACAGCAGTAATTTTATTTGCTATTTGTAAAGTTAATTCTATCTCAGAGAATCCTAAACTGTCTTATCTTGGGTGAGATTGTACCCTGAACTACATAAAAAGAATAAAAGACAGAGAAACGTGAAGTCCTGTTTGCAGAATTTGCAACTGTTCACTCCCTCAAGAGCATGTAGGCTTCATACCTTCAAAGGAGAACAGGAAATAAGACACCAGAATTTGAGTTCACATTATAAAATTTACAAATACATTGCAAACTGCTGAATTCATCTACTCAGAAAAGGTAGAAGGTAGACAGGTGAATGTTGTCAAAGAGGAAAAGCTGTTGTTCAAGGCACACTATACATATTTCATAACTGATTCATAGAGCATTAAAACTCATAGACCTCAAAAGCTTTTGCAGTTATCACAGCAATGCAGAGCTCATACCTGTGGCAAGATAGATGATATGGAAAAGCATGTCCTTGCCCTGCACGACATCCACAACCACATGGGAAAATCGGCTGTTGTCTTCCATGAAGTAAGGAATTGGAATAACCGGTTGAACAACCTCATGCATTAAGAAGAATTTTTGAGCATCCTGAAGATTTCTCTCAGTCAGATTTACATACAAACCCTGGTCCATGGTGCCACACTGTAAAGAAAGAAAAGTAACATTACCATATGTGTCAATGATAACAACAGATTTACTCTCTGATTCACAGCACAAGAAAATAAAAACGAAGAGTATATCTTGTAGTGACACTGTGGAATTCCACTTTCAGGTCTCATTTTGGTGTGACCAAACTGTCCACACAGTGATTGAGGAAGCCCCTCTTCCCCGAGGCAGTATTGTGGAGGCTCCCTAACTCTAAACAATATAGAAGGGCATCAGACGGACCACCACAAGTGGGCTATAGTAATATTTTGCTATATCCTATGTTCACAGGGCAGGAAGGAGAAAAACTACCATCCAACAAAACACAGAATTTTCTGACTAGTTTTCTTTATAAATTACACAGACACAGTGCTAAAGACATAATGAATTTTCAAAGGAAATCCCATGTCCTACCACAGCCAAGGTCTGACAGAAATCCCAGCTGAAAGCACCAATGCATAGTTCTAGCAACTTCTTGAGACCCTGTGTTTACTAGCCAAGAATGACAGTGCAGAGCTCTAACTATAAAGCGTTATCCACCGCAAAGACATTTTTACTTTGGAACTGACTGTATTTTATATCTGAAAACTGAACTCTTTCCTTACAGGAAAGCACTCACTAATTGCACGCACAAATTTCAACCATAAATACACAAAGCAAAATAAGTGGTAGTTAATTTTAGCATCTTTGTGTTTAAGTCTTCAACTGAGGACACAAAAGAGAAAGTTGCTTAGCGAGTGTGAGTATGTGAACATCCACATGTTTACTCATGCATAATTTCATCAGACAAATAAAGCAGTACTTCACAACATTTATCAAATAAGTTGGTGATGTGAAAGGCATACTTGTCATACTTTTTCATTCTGTTCTACTATGTCATAAACTATGCCATGAATTACAGCATGAACAAAATAATAGAGTGTGTAAAACTCTACCAGTTATTTTTTCATTATTGCAACGTTTTCAATCTGAACTTAAGTGATCATTCCAAATCCACAAATGTTAAGAAAAACTCAAATAAATAATTTCATAATGAGAAATTATATGATGAGGGAAGGCAGTTAAGCCTTGCTTGTGAGCACCCTGCATGTCAGGCCAGTGGAAAAAAAAAAAAAAAACAAAACCCACACCAAAGAAGTTCTTTGAATCTATCAAGTAGGAAAGATTCCAGCTGGAACACTCATAGTACACTGAAACACATACAGTCCTTGGTCTTACAATGAAAATTGTCCTGTGTTAAGAGAAAAGCAACAATCTCTGGAGAAAAACAGTGTTCCTCAAATTGGGGACTCCAATAGTATTCTAATCTGGAAAATATTTCATTAATATAATCCAGTCTTGGAAATACAATGTCTGATGCAACTATCACTACATAGCAGTGGTCTTGCTTCAAATCACATACTTCTGTCTGTTATTGCTAAGTAGGTGAATACTCTGAGGAAAATCTACTTCTGAGACTACACAAACAGAACATCTGATATTTTACAGTAAGGAATCTACAGAAGAAAGGTTCTTCTTTCTGGGAAGGAAACCAGTGACTCAGCCAATTAATATATCCCATCTACACGAAGCATGTACTCTAAAACACCATCAAGTCACAACAAATGGTTACACCCAGCTCTAAGCATTAGACTAACTTCTGGTATACATCACTGCTGCAGTTACAGAGCCAGAAATCTAACAGAAAGTTCAACAGAATAAAAGATAACACCTGCAAAAGAACAGAAGTTCGACATCACTAATGATACCTAGAGATCAGTTAATGCCAATTGGCTTTGATACTATGTTGTAAAAGGCCACATCACAACTTTTAACACTAGAACTGGACTGCAAAGCTGTTGCTCAATGAGATATGATACAACTGTTGCTACTGTTCTTGTAAATTGGATGAAGTACCAGCCATATTAAAATCAGCCAGCCTATCCAAGCAAGAAATTCCTTCAACACCTCAGTCTTGACTGGGATTTAGAGATAAGCACCAAGAGTACAGTACAGAAACTGTTTGTACACAGCCATCAGGCTGTCATCTTTGTTTGTATGTACCACTCTGTATGGGATGCTCTCACAATTATCAACACGTTAATATGAGGTTTGTAGGGAA